AAAGCGCAATGACATCGAAAATCGACGAATGCACCAGTCTATACATCTATTCCAATTTTTCTTTATTTCGCAGTACACGAATACAGTAAAGACTGGATAAATGCAACAATCCCGTCTTACACTTATCCAGTCTTTACTGTACCGGAATTGGGCGAACGCTGGCTATTTCGGAATTCGTCGAGCCCAGACAATCTACCGAGTTCTAATTTCGAGCAAGTACCGCCGATCGCGCGATTTGAAAGTAAAACGAAGGATCGTCGGGAATTAATGCGAGCTTAATCTCCCCGGCCGGGTTCCGTTTAGCAGCCAGCCAGGGAAATATGTAAAACAGTCGCATTATTCATCGTACTTCCTCTCGAGGTTAATCTTCTTTCGTCTCGCGTGCGCGGGAACTCGTAAAGGAGAAGGCGGCATCGCGACTCTCGGAAGGAGAACTCGCGATCGTTTCAACCGTTAAAAAAGGTCCAGGCTCGTATTTTTAGTACCGGTCGGTGGAAGATGTCGCGAAACGTTACTCCCGTCAGCGAAACTGTCACCGTTCATTTGCATAATGGACCAGGAAGTGAAACTATGGCTTTCAAGCGCCGTAGAGTTTCGCGATTTCCGTCGAGCAGGTCCGCTATCGTTGGAAAAGAGAATTTCAGCTATCCAGAGCGCTATCTTTTAAGTGTACTTTGTAAAACGTGTCGCAAGAGTATTTAATCACAGATCGAGTCCTTGGAAACTATTCGAATACGTTTCCAGCGAAATGAGGCTTGGGAAATGCTCACCGTTGCTTCGTACGTATCATTTTCTATTTCACGTGTCTGATTGTGAGAAGTGGAGCGCGGCGAATAGGAAATAACGCGCAGGAATTTTTCTATTTTCCGCATCGACCCGTGTGGAAAAACGAGTATTTCGTCGAAAGTAAATTCAACGCGAAACTCTTGGACGAATTCAATCTTTCTTTCCGTCGTTTATGTAGATTCGCATCTTCTCTTCGATCATTTACATTAATTTCAAAGCGTGTCGAGTCGTTCGCTCGGTTGTTTCGTTTAACAAACGGAAGGCGCCGTTTCCTGCCGAAGTCACAGCGGAATATTAAACAAACGGTACCGAGTCGTTCCACTGGTTGGTTCGGCAGCGTTTCGTCTGGCAAGGAGTCGCCCGTCGACTTCATATCCGTGACAGTCGCAGCTGAATGAGTGCCAAAGACGCGGTCAACAACGGGAATATAGAAACTTGTGCCGCGATGCAACGATAGCGAGCGAAACAGCGATTGCGATACCTCGTTTCGGCTCGTTTCTTCGAGAAATCTCGCGAATGACGCGGTATTAAATAGCTCTTTCTTCGCTGAAAACGAAGCGGACGTTTTCGATGGAGAAACAATACAGTAAACACTGGATAAATGCAAGACAGGATCGATTGGACAAATGCAGGATGACTATCCCAACCATTGGAGGGGTTCCTCCTTGACGTTCAGCGGCAACCAATTGATACGCTCTACCGACCATATTTTTTTCCCTTGGACCTCTTTCTCTTTCACTCTCTGCCCTTTTCTACAGTCAAATGTAACGAGTCAGATGTAAACACGGAATAGAAACTTGTACTGGATAACTGCTACGTTTGGGTCCCGATTTTCTTGCACTTATCCAGGCTTTACTGTATTCTAAACGGATACGTAACGTTCCACGTACGTGGAAGCTATGGATGCAGCTACAAACTCGGATAGCTCTGCATCAGGGTGAATTTCGGTCATCGATCGATGGATCCCGAGACTTAACGTACCTCGATCCCTTAATACTGCATCAGAATTTACTAATACATCCGACACCTCCTGAACTATCTTAATTGGAACAACACGACGCGGATGCTAATCTCGCGCATAATTGGTGTAGATATCATCCGTTAGAACTGTTCCATCGGTTTATGCTAAACAAATTGAAACGTGCGACGCGATGATTTCACACAACTGTTTCGGAAATGTTTTAACGCTCTCTAAGTGGAAACAAAACCGTTCTATTGTGCGCGAACGATGCAATTAGATAATTCCCTATTGTGTGTAAATATTGATTCGTGCCAGCGAATAAATTACCGCTGACAGCCTGTCTTGGCAGATCAGGCGCCGTGACGAACGCGTGCGCACTAACGCAGCTCGAGTCTTGATACGAATTTAAATTAATATATTTTTTATACACGCAGCGTGTCAGCGGACCAGTACGATTCAGTAACGATTAGGTGTAAAATAAGAGGAAGGATCCTTGAAGGTTTGCGAAGCGTTGCATTCCACCAGTAATAAAAATCCAATTAAATGCACAGCTAGCGTAAATCGTAACTGTTCGAATTACGATAGCTTGCGGTGAGCCTCTTTCTCTCTCTCTCTCTCTCTCTCCCTCTCTCTGTTGTAAACTCCGAACAGTTCTCGCGCGTGAGACCATTAGAAAGTCGAGCTACTTCGGCGCGAGTTACCAACTCGTCGTGAGATACGGTTAAGAGGGAATTTCGTAAGAAACTGCGGGAAAGGGATTTCAGGCCTCTAAGGAGCCACCGTAAGCGGGCAAAACTCGGAACTTCTCGTGTCTGCCGCTTTTCAGCCTTCGAGCGGCCCGCGGAATGCACTTGTGCAAGTTTTTCTTTTCGCGTCGTCGCTGGGAGCGGACTATCGAATATAACGGCCGCAACATCGATGTCAAGGACGTCGCCGAAGAGCCAGGTCGTGTAATTAACGGATTGTTCGGCCGTAGTAATTGAGCTCGGTTTCGTAGGATACGACACCGCTTGTTCCAAATGACGTTCTAATCATGCTGGGATCTTGATCGGGCTGTTTTTATTAGAACATCGCGAGCAATCTTCGAATGTTGAAGTTAAGATTATACCCGAGAGAAGTGGCGTGGACTTGCGCGGATGCAGAAACTAACGTAAAATTCATATGTTCGAATTGTACCGTACATTCGAATCGATCGTTGTGTTTTCTATTCGAATGGCATGAATGGAGGGACATTGAATGATCGACATTGATGAGTTGAAAGATACAGTTTATTTTTAGCCAGGCATTGCGTAAACGACAAGTGACGTGCAACTTGTACAGTCGAGGCGATTTGCGTGTACGAATTCAATTGCTGCGTCGGTTCGGCTTTCGACAGAGCGCTTCGCTTTTACGCTTAATTGTCCATTCCCGCAGACAACGTTTGACTCGTTCTGACCTGCCAAGAATGCTTCTCGACTAGTTCGTGTACCTTGGCAGGGTTTAACGAACGCGATGCGAAGCGCTCGAGAATCGATGCGGAAAACGGGGAAAAAATTGATCGTTTATCAGTGGAACCAATTGAAAGATTGCGCGTACCGAAGCGTGCCGTGGAATAAATTAAATTTTTATCGGGCGACGATAATATATCTATTAAGAACGGAACCGTTTAATTTTTACGCTATTAATAACGAACGAAATCGAGCGATACAGATGAACGCACGCGTAGAGCGTGTTTCGAATGAAATTTCTGTCGAGCTGTCGAATACCGATCCGTATCGAACACGTGTAACAATATCAATATTTCGTTTTGCATTGCATACGCATTCTGTATACGTTTTCCACGAATATCGTTTATATTTTCTCGCGCCATAAATGCATAATATTCGAGGACTTTAAATTGAATCCTCATGAATATGCAGTCGGCTGTTTTCCTCGCAAGATTCCTACCCAGTAATTTCCGTCGCATAGTTGGAAACATTGAAAGATCCAGCGAGCGTCTTGTCACGCACAGGAATGATAATGACAATAATTGGATCGAAATAGCTTGTTGTTCGATAATTATTCCATTGTTTATCGGATAATGCACTCTTATTCTTTCGTCGACGTCTTCTTCTGTTTTCAACTCGCCTCGATTACCGTCTTTGTTTCTCCTCCGTATTCGATAACAAGAAGCGGTATGCTATTTCTGGCATTCGCGTAACGTCTCTCGGGTGTAATATGCGATGGAATGTTTGCTTTAATTAGTCGGGAATTTCATCGCTTCGACGTTACAATTTGATTATAAAATTCACGGTTTCTTCCGTGGATTTCGCGTTTTCGAAAGCTAGGAAATGTTGGTCGAAACGTTTCATCCTCCGCAGCCACCTTGATTCGGGGTTTTTTTTTTTCTTTTTTTTTTAAATACAAAGAAAGAGTTTTTACGAATTCCGATCTCGTAGTCTCGGCGCATTTCGCAGCTCGAAAGCGAGACTTCCGCTTCGAAAAGTGGCCTCAAACGGGGACGCTGACCTTCCGTCGTTCACCGATCGATCCAGCGTGCTCGATGGATCTAGGAAGGGGCCTTGATCGCCCCGATGAAAACTGCCACGCTCTCGGTCATCCCGAGGACAGGTTAATTAACGGAAGGTAATGATCAGGGGGAATCCCGAGTCCGTTAGATCGCATCTAAATTATCGCCGTGCAATTTAGTTTGCCCGTTCGTTTCGTTCTGCGAATAAACAGCCGCCTCCCTAGCGAGAAGTCTATTCTTTTTCTATCCTCGACGGGATAGCCTTGACGTTAGATTTTGAAATCATCGTTCGTACCGGCACGCGATACTCGCACATTTTATATACAATTTTGGCACATCGTGCAGACATTATTGCATCAAGGAATGCCATCCGCGTCGCAGGTGTCGCTAGCTTGAGCAAACAATCGTCGACGGTCGATCGAGACTGATGCTTCGAAGCCCTCGAAGAGAGGAAACGAAAGGACACTCGCCGGAAATGAACCGCCTAATACGCCGATCGATCGGCCACCGTGGATGGCGTTACAGATCGATATGGTATGTCGCATCGATTGTATAACGGGCAGCATTGGAATTCCTGTTGTCGACTTTCGATCCACGATGCGAATACGGGAACACCTCGCTGGCTCCAATCGGAACAGTCCTTCGACGTTGGAGATAGTTGGAAAAATTTGGAACAAAACACGCGCGATCGGGAACACTTGGATATTTCCTGGGTGCATGGAACGTGACCAAAGTTCAATTTCCTCGATACGTTTCTTCTCTCTCTCTCTCTCTTTTTTTTTCTTTTTTGTGGACGCGATACGCCCTCGCCAGAGAAGGTACTTTGTTCGACTCGGATCCCGCGCAGTGAATCGCGGCTGTAAAAATCGAGGATGACTAAAAGAAGCGGTCGTCGAAGTGTTAATTTCTTTGCGCAACGAAATAAATGAATTCGCATTCGTGCTTCCCACTGCGCACAGTTGGACGCGTCGCAAAAACCTTCGTCATCGTCGTACCGAGACTGAATACAGTTAGATCTCGGTAGCTGGGTTTCCCGCGAGTATTTCCGTAAATTACCCGGGGCGACTGACACCGCATCGAGGATTCCCACAGTCAGACAAAAGACATTCATATTCCGCGAGGAATCTTATCCCGAAATTTAAAGGCCAGGTTCCGTGACACGGTCGAAACCGAAATTGCCTCCGTCGGCTGCGACGTGCGTTCCCTGAAACGTGAAACGGAAGACAATGTACCACGGTGCGCTCGGAGAGTCGTGAAAGCCGGGCTAATAACGCTACTCCAAACGAAATGTATCGTTAACGACTGATACGCACATTTTCAATCATCTCGTGTCCGATACGAGCCTCTCGAGGTTTAATCGCTATCGATTGTACCATCCTTTATCTTATCGGTCGACCATCGACTGTTCTACAAAAAAAGATAGAAAAATTGACAGTTTCCATCGATCATTAAACGACAAATAACAACTCTTGAAAACGTGGAATTCATCGAGAAACGCACTTGACGAGTTTCGCGTGGATAACGCAATGTAAATCGCGATTACTCCGTCGCTATATTTCGCGGCGTACGTGGGAAATATTATCGGTGGCTACGGGGAAATATTCTTTACTGCGAACGGATCTTTGCGACTGGATGCGAGGTAATAACGCGCGGTTGGAATAATAAAAGCCATCGATTGATCGGATACTTGCACAACGAGCGACGTCGCGGGACCGATATTGCGCTCGGATATCGAGATACAGTTGCTCGCAAAAGTATTCGTCCTATCGTTCGTAGAAAATCCACTCGGAACAAAAATGTTTTCCCGGTAATGACACCACGGAAGGAAAAAGCCTGTCGAGCGTTTTAAATGGCGAAGCCTAGTTTTTTCTTCGCGGCGTCGAATAAAAGCTGGCGCCGGTTGATTCACGGGCCGACGTTGTCTGCGATAACTTGGACGTTGAAATGACCAGTCGGAGCTTATATCGCTGGCAAACTTTTACGGACGGCTTCCCGTTCTGCTTGCAATGCCGCGCTTTTAATTGAAATTTAGGTTGACGTTCTGCTTCTGACAGCAGCCTCTATTTTTTTTTACAATTTTAGATCCCGATACCGTTTCATCGCGTCGAAGGAGAATCCGGTTGTATTTGTACCAGTCTCGATAAACAAACAGGTTCCATTTTGAAGTTTAATACTTTAATAAATTAAACGTAAATCGTCGGTCGACGGTTGCGTTTGTGTTTCCGTCTCGAACAACATCGGCGCGTGATTTCCATCGCGCAACGACTCGTTCTGAATTTCCGCTCTCGTTCCGAGAACGCTCGAGCCCCGTGGTTTCGAAGTCGCTTCATTGTTTCGCGAAGGTTTTTGCGAAACGTCCGACGCGAAGACCGTCGGACGCAGGTGTCGCAGGAAATTTCGAAACGGACTGGCATACGCGCACGCCGTGCACGTCCACCTTTCTTTCTCCCTTCCGATGGAAGGTCTCCGTGCGATTCTCTTTCTGCGTTGCACGTCGGATGGAAACCCGTTTCCAACGCGCCTCGAGACGTCTGCTCGGTCTACCGGTGCACACACGATTGCACCCAACGATTTCGCCGATGCACCGACGAACGTGGGCGTTATCGCGCGGAAGCATCTGCTAAAACGCGGAATGACGAACGGACGCGTTCTGCCATTCAATCTTCGCCTACGAAGGAAATCGAGGGAATCGGATTTGACGTCTTCCTGTTCCATCGATCGCTCGGATAAGCGCTCGGATGTTGCTCTGAGTTGCGCCACGAGCGCGTTAAATATACGAATTTCAACGTTACCTCGGGTTTTTCGACGCTAACAAGCTTCCATTCTTCTTGGAGCAACTCGGACTCGCGATAGAAAGGATTCCAATTAGGTATGTTCGAGATGTGATCCGACCAGCCTATTCTTACAGACACGATAGTAAACAGTATAGGAAAGAAAGGAGAGTTTGGAAGCTCTCGTGTCAGAAATGAGTAACGGTGAAAGTTATTGATTTGGATAAAGCAAAGATTTGGAATGGGCCCCAGGAACGAGTAAGGGAAAATATTTACTACGAGTTATCCGTCTGAGAAACGACGGATTCGATGGAAAGGAGACGTAGGAGATTGAGAGATACGGGACGGCAAATTTGGTCTCAGATATACCGGTTCATCGAGCGATTATCACATTTTTATACGGAGCATCTGTTCAATTTGGAGTGTCGCCAGGACGGTTATCTCTGGTCGATCGATACAGTGGGCTCCGGGTCGCGGGTAATGTACGCGATCCGCGTTAATGCGACGGCGGCCTAGGCAGCTTCCGAATCCGATCTCGCGGTTGGAGGCGTAACATCTGCGTTCGCCTCGTCCTTGGTAACGGAGTAAATTTTCCTTCGAACGCTCGGTAAAATGGGGTATCCGGAATTCAAAATAGAAGTCGAGGAAAAACGTCCGCGGGACGCGATCGCGAGGCAGAAGGAGGACAAAAAGACCGCGGAGCAACGTATTATTACGTCGTTACGATGAATATAACCGCGTGCACGGAATCGTTCTGGAACCTGTTCAAGGAGACGTCCGACCGAACGCTTTCGTTAATTTTAATAAACGACCGATTTTCGAAGCGTCCCCGCGTGAAACGACGAACCGATCGACGTGGCTCGTGAATGTGAAATCGTCCGACAGCATTAACCGGTACAGCACCGGCGTGTCGGGGGCTGTGCGTAAACCAGCGACGCGTTCTCCCTTTATAGCGCGCCTGAATTGCCCACGCAGCAGTCGAAAGTGCTTCGTAACGTTAACGCGGCTGTTGAACATGGACGGTTCTCGCGTGTTTGCCAGTTCCCTTTGAACGAGGCTCGCTCGCCTGCCGCGTGGAAATAATTATCGGACGCGGTCGTGAAAATGCTGAGGCCTCCGGATAAAATTGCTCCGGACACATGAATGGGACGGTCGAAGCGTTCAACGGAGTACCAGGTTTTCGTATGCAACGCGCGCGGTGTACTTTTTATACAGGATCCGCTGGATGCGGTACGAGAGATGCGGGACACGCGATCAGATGTCTTCGAGGTCCCCGGAGTTCAGTGTCAGCTTTCAAGACTGTCCCGTCTCTCGAAATTAATATCGACTCTCACGAGTGACGTCTAGGCATGTGGAGATTACGAGTCATCGATATCGAGTCCAAGCAACACTCGCCCGAACAATTCTGACTTGGCATTTTCTCCTTGCACAACCGCGTATTCTATTCCGGTATAGCGCTGGCATTCGCTCATTTACGCCCAAAGCTCTTTCTCGTATCCGTTACATAACTCCGTCGTCGTGCTTTCAAGAAAAGTAAACGAAAGTCCCGTAGCAACGAACGACAGTGTTTGTCGCGCTGGTTCGTTCCCTTTTCGTTTTCCTTGGACATCGTGCCAGCGCGATTTCCCATCGGGTAGTTTGGAATAATTAACGTCTCCCGGAGCTGTTTTTCCTTGGCGATCCACGCGCGTCTCGTGTTTTCATTAGCGAAACCGACCGATTGGCTCGACGGTCGAATTTATAGTTTATATCTTCTTCGACCGTGATACAGACCTTACACATTTATAGATCTATGAATTATCGCCGCTCGTACCTACTACGTACTTGCCGTGCACGCTGGAGTTGCGTCCCGAACAGTAAATCGTCCCTAGCCGTTGCAACGCTAACGGTACATACGCGTAAATCTCGATACAGTGACGCGAAATGGATCCTCTGTTCGTTTCCAAGCGCGAGCAACGGTTCTTTCGACGTCGTATCGCCATCCAATTATTATTTCTCGGGATAGCCGAGGATTACGAGCAGCGGTCGAGTCACATCGTGTACTCGGAAAAATTCTAATACGAGCATTCGAGTACAGAAGAATTCGCTAAACAGTGGCCAAGCGTTGTCCCGCGTGCCACGGTTTGCGTTTATTCCGTTGTGTTTGTTTTCCGTTGCACCCGTGTCTCGTGTCAGACGATCGTTTCGCCCACGCCGAGGGCAAGCTGCCAAACGTGACACTGTCCCGCTTCCGAAAATACCAGGGATCCGTTAAACAGAGACACGTCGACGATTCCTCGTCGAAAATTTTTCCATTGTTTCCATCGCGTATCACAGAGCGAATTAGGGAATTACACGGTGGATGCTGTCGCGTAGCTGGATTCGTCGCTGACAGCGGGAACACGCGCGAGTCCCGGGGATAACCCGTTCCAATAATAGAAATATACGTTTGGGTCGAATGCAGATCCGCGGTGACGGTTGAACTCGTCAGGATGGGGCTGGTAATCGAATTAAAAGCGTCCGGAGCAATTAACGTCGAGCGTTAGCGCAGATGCAGCGTTTCGAATCGACCGAATTCGGCTCAAGTTTACACCGTGCGAGGATCTCCCGCGTTCCCATACTCTCTTCTATGTTCCGATACGATAGGAAGAGTAACAGTATACGACCGCGGGATTGCATGCTACTTCGATCATATCTAGTTACGTAATTGTATTACTCTGCGACTATAAGCGTGACTCGGGTGGACTACAAAGGACAAGGTTTGCCTCAAGAATTTTAATAGAGTATCGACACGATTTAATCGCATGAGTATTCCCAGAGATTCGTGCTCCCGTATTTTTATATTACCGGCTTGTGTAAAACGATGTACTTTTAATTAATATATTTATTTCGATTTTGGAGGAAAATAAACGCGCAATAACGAACAAATAATTGTGAATTGGATCGTGAATCTATGGCACGTTACGACGCGTTTATTTTTTTCCGAATCGTCTTACGACGTTGTTGTTTAATTTCGTGATTTTATTTTAAGCATTTTGGCACGTAGACGCATGTATTACTCACCGCTGTCGTGTTTGGATTGTTTGTTGTATCTCAGGTCCAGACGCATGTCTCAAGACGTCGCGCATTCGAGATCAACGGAAAACCTCACCGCATCTTACTTCAGGTATGTACGATAGACGTCCAATTTGAATGACCGACCAACGAACGGCAACATGGTAGATCCGTTCGTTACCTGTTGCAACCCGATGGTAATTTACTTTGCGCCTGCTGTTCCCTGCTTCGTGAAATTTATTTTTTCTTCCAGCATGGTAATTTCATTCGTGGAAGTCCCATTGTTGCTCGTTATCTTCGTCGGCCATTCTCCCGCGGATTTGTCTTGTAGAGTTCATTAATACCACGCATGGTTCGTTACATCGCGAAATTACATTATGTCGCGCCTCGCTGGACTCGCATTTCCAGAGAAAACTATGCGCGTGTAATTTCACGTGCAACGCGTTTGCCTTAACTTTCTTGTGTTTAAGAACACTTTTTTTTTTTTCCTTTTGTATTAAACGACCATCGCTTGCTTTCTCGAAAAAAATGTTCTCGAAATAAAGACCGTAAACGCGCGAAGAAAACGCGCGCGTCGCGTATCGTTTTAATCGCTAATCGATCGTTTCCTTTCGCAGGAGCAAAAGCCGCAGCGTGGATTACGGATTCACCACGAACTTCGATTTGGATTCTTTACGGAACAAGGTCGAGGGACGCTTCGAGTCCGTGGAAAAACTCTCAAAGGGTGAGCGACGTCCTTAAATACAATTGACAACTTTCTTTCTGGACCGATTCCTCGATCTTTATTCGTTACTCGAAAATTTTTATGCAAATTCTGCCCATTTTCGATGGATAGGAGAGGCGAGATAATCGCGGAAGCTCGACGGATTCTGGAATGACTGATTCACAGTTCTACTGTATCGATCACGATCCAGACAGAACGAAGGACTCGCGACAGGCGCTAAGAGTCGGACGCAACCTTACTCATGCGAATTACATTGACTTACTTTCTTAAAGTGGCACAAACGCCAGGTTTGATCGATCGCTTCGCGCGTTCCTTTAATCGACATTCTTCGCGCGAGATTTATCCGCGAATTTCCCGCTAGTTTTCCAGCGAACACCCTCGACGGTGTCTCTCAATCCCATCCAGAACCGCTAGCTCGTCGTCCATCGTCTTGAAATGCAAAATCGTGGACCGTCGAGGTCCCACGATATCTGTCGCGGGAAATAAAAAAAATGTGTTGCCATGGAATATATGCCATCCATGGAAAGGGGGTGAAACGAGTCCAAGCGAAAGTATAAAAGCACGACGGATAATTGATCCCGAGACGAGCAATGTTCCTCGTTAAACAGGATTTAACGAGCAATCGGACCGCTACCAGCAAACTCGCTTTAATAAAGTAAAAGGCCGCGCGAAATCACGCTCGTTTCGCGCGATTAATCGTTACCCGATAAACTATTTATAATTCTTCGCTATTCTGGTTTCCGTTCGAATTGGTATAAATATAGACGCGTTTCGTTGGAGTTGGGAAAACGTTTGACGCGATTAACGCTACGTATCGATCGGATTACGTAGGCAGCCCAATGAATACTGTTAATAAAAAAAAGAAAAAAAAAAAAAAAGGTAGGAAGCTTGTTTATCGCCGACTCGATCGTAAATCAATATCTAAAATTATTTGCCGAACGTCGAATACGAAATACGCTCGCGATCAGTGTTTAATCGGTAATGAATAATTCGTCCTGTATATCTCGACAACGAATAATGCACCATTGCTCGTTTCGGAGTGTACGATTTAAACGACGAAACATTCGAAGAGCGGTGCAACGGTATCGCAAATATTGTTTTAGACTCGTCGCGATTTATTTGAAATAAAGCTATCGAGGTTTTGCAAAAAGGATAGTTTATTGTAGAAGATATATTACACGACGATATATTACCGCTTGCTTACGACGTATTTTTGCGTATAATGAACACGTTCGCAATTAAAACAAAAACGGTGCGCGCCAAGCTACGCAGCGTCAAACTTGAAACTAAAATTTGTTTCTTTTCCTTTATCTTGACAAAAGCCATCTCTCTCTCTCTCTCTCGATATAGAATATCACGAGCCTAGCAACTTTATACCAAGGTGTTATCGGTGCCCCGCTAAGAACCACCGTCCCGTTCTTCAAGAAAGACGCGCAATCTCGTTCGCGACTCAATTTCTCTTAATCAAAGAACGTATTACCACGTTCCAAACCAGCAAAGTGGAAGCGCCGTCGTAAATAGACGATCGTGCCGCGAGAGCAGCTGGGTACGAGCGGGATAACGGCGAAGGGGGAACGAATCGACGCGAACGGAAATCTGAAACCAAGCTGCCGTGATTAAGTTCTCATTATTGTTCCGTTTAAGGGGATACGATATCGACGTTGTGCCTCCCGCGCGAAAACGGTGTCGTTTCGCGAGAGGAGATTGCCCGGAAAATTTAAATCCTGACGTCCTGGCGGTCCCTGCGAGCACTTTATTAAACGCAGAATCCGTGTCAGCCGGGCGACTAACCCAGATACCCGTCGCATCGAGCATTCATAACAGTCTGGTATATGTATGCGCGGCCGTGTGCTTTTAATGGGCGGCGTGGATTTGCCAAATGACAATCGACCGAATTCCCCCGGTTGTCCGTGGATATTTATCTAATTACCAGCACCGAGATCAACGGTAATCGAGGAATTTGTCAGACCGTTTTAACTCTGGCTACGGTCTCTGTCATGGTCGTTATCCTCGTAATAGTCGAGGAATAAAACGAGGTGGAGTTGTTTCGTTTAGGAGAAAAAAAAAGAACCGTTGGACACACCGGAGCGATGTCTCTCTTATCATCGGCGTAGTTACCGCCAAACTGTTTGCAAAGTCTTTCGACAGGTGTCACTAATCGTCGCAAAAAAAAAATGCGCGCGAATAAAGAAGAAACCTGGGGATGTAGCACTTGTTGTTTCAGGATTAAAATTGTTATCTACGTAAGAATGCGAGCCGTGCCCGTCTCTGAAAACGGCTGGCTTGCAATTAGACGAGACAGAAATGTTTTCTTCGGTGTAATCCGTCGCTTCGTTACACGTCGAACGGGTTAACGAACGTTTGCGACGTTTTATAAATTCCTTGCTCGAGATCAGCGTACGTTCGACCGTTCTTTGTCATCGGTGCAGCTTGTGTCTGACGTTCGCGAATCGATATCTGTTGAATCGAGACTCGGTGACCCATGTTCCTGGTATTTGATTACAGCGTTGCTCGCTCAGCGGACTAAGAACCGATCCGGATGTATTTCAAAACGCACGTTTTGCATCGTAATTTAACGACGACGATTCTCCAGCGCCGGGATCGATGACTAACAGGTTCGCGAATAATTTTATTAAGAACTTGATGTAACGATCTACCGTAAGATTTGAAAATTCTGCGTTTTACGAACCGATCGAAATTTTAACGGAATTTGAACGCAGCCGGGACCACGACGCGTTAGGGAGCCGAGGAAATTAACTCTGGGGAAATTAATCGAGTTCTCGTTGTGTCGCGCGTGAATATTAAAAATGTCTGACACTGAACGAGTCTGTTTTAATTTAGTTTCACGCTGGAAGTCGACCTAGTCCGATTATCGAATGATAGATGTCCGTAACGAAGAAGTGGAAAGCAGAAAATAATTGTTATCTTGCTTGTTAAATATTCGACGATCGCGGACAGCTTGCATACCGCTGAAATTATTCGTCTTTATTTTTGTCACGTAACAAATAACCTTATCTGTTGCGGAATGATTAATTGGTTACCATTTATCTATATTAATAGCTAGGAAAGTCGGTCGAGTGTTGCGCTCCTATTTGAATTCTATTCCAGACGCGGTCTGTGATCTATATGCTAAACATTTTTTTTATAGATAGATAGATAGATCTTGTGCTTATCTATTTTCTATAAATCATGTTTATATATACATATATATCTGTGTCTGGAACTCATCCCGTACGTACCTTCCTCGTAAACATTTTCGCGAGTACTATTCGGATTAATAAAAAAAAACATGGCGGAGATAGAGTTTTTACGCGTACTTACCTCATCGATAGAGGAAGTAATTCGAGCATCGAGTACGATACGCTCGATATTCAATTGACGGCTTCGATTCGAAGAATTCTCGAGCAGCTGATAAGCGTCTGTTATACGCGTCGATAAAACACGTGGATTGAAATTAAATAATCGCGCCAACGATGACGTGATCGCAACATGGCAGTGATCGTCGGTCGGGCGTGTGACTCGCGCGAGTAGTTGCACTCGTCGCGCGTCGTCAGCCAGAGAAGCGTGTCTCGTCGATGTGTTTTTGTTTTTTTTGTTTTTTTTTTTTATTTCGTCAACGAGGAGACACCGCGCCCCGTCGAGTCCTTACACCGTCGCGGGCCTCCTTTCTCGTCGCGTCGTCCGTCACACGCGTAAAGTGCAACGAGGAGAAGCTAATTGTAAAACGGCGTCTCCCGCGCGTAAACGCGACAACAATAATTGCAGTGTCCGCGTTACCTTGAAAACACGAGGCTGCGCGAAACGCAGCACTTGGCGTGTGTGTCTCACCGGTTTCGTTCGGGCGATCGAACGATAACTGCGACGGTACTATTCCATACAAGTGTCAGATACTGGTTAACGATTGCGACGCGTCGTTCGTTGAAATAACGATCGATTTCTTTGTAGCGATTATTTCAAACTATTTATTTTTATAAATGTCGAAAAGGTACGATTTCGACATTGGCTAACGATATCGTCAACGATAACGGTGGTTCGTAATCAAAGGTTTAAGAATATTCAAGAACGGATATTGTCGATAACGAATGGTCACAGGAAACAGCGATACAGCGAATTATATAATACAGCACAAACGACTTTATCCAAACTGCTGAAACAAAGCACGAGTTCGCATAAGGATATCGAGCGAATCGACTTTCGTTCCGACTGTAGAGGACAATTCAATTCGAACGTGTGTCAAGCGTGGAGTTAATTGCTCTATTGATTCCCGAGATGTTACGTCAACAGGCTGAAAAATACACGTTCAAAAATAGAGTCCCTAAACTTCTTAAAAATAGCACACCGGAGAATTTGTTCGTTTGTTAATTGAACGTTGCTTTACGTTTTATCTTTTTGTGGGTTTCGCGTTGTTCTACGTCGCAGTATGGCAGAAATACGAGGATGAGTCGAGTCAGCCCTGGGGCACGATAGCGAAGCACTGTTGTTACTGCTGAATCTTAAGAACGGATTAAGTGACGTTTGTTTCGTTAATCCGAATAAATATTCACCAACGTAAACGAATGGAGGCTATCGATCGCAAGTTTTATATAGGCAAACCAGTTACTCCGGTATTTTCTTCCGGTTCGCATTGGGAAGTGGTCAGTGAAATCAAAGTCCCGGTGTGTCCTTTGCTTTTTAAACGTCGCAGAATTGATTTACAAGGTGAATTATTCGCATCGTGGCATCCTTCGCGCGAATACTCGACTGTGCCATTCTATTCGTTTTCCTAGTTATTTGCTTACGTAGTTGAAACTCGCGTAGCATCCTAAGAGCGATTCAATGCTGGGCTCAAGGCTGACCTAAACGATACACGAGAATCGTTCGTAAGTTCGTAACAGAAAGCCAGTGCCATTTCGTTTCTCGTTGCCGGAGAGTGCTGTTGCGTCGTCTCGTAATTTGGGCCTCAATTTCGATCCTCGATTCCTTCGAATATGGTCGTTTCTATGAAATGTGAGAAATATAAACGTATAAGTGCAGAATATTTCGACTCGTAAGAAAGGGGAAAACGCGGATCTACGAAGGATATACAACGATAACAGAGCAGTCGAGAAAGATCGGTTCAAAGTACGAGGAAGGACACGAATCACGGATCACAGATATCGTTGTAAACTTGTTTCAGGAAGGAGCAAGGTCGGTCGGTACGAGAACGTCCCCGAATCCGGTTTTCTTTGTGCTCGAACAGGATTTCGAGCAAGATCTAACCTCCTGATACGTTGATAACGTTTTTGCTTTCTGGGCTAAGAAGTTACCAAACGTTATCTGCCGTCATTTCAATATTTTCCTCGATCGTTTCGTCTCGAAAACATTCTAATACGTAACCCAGTGTCGATAAAACGCTATCTTTAGAAGCTGTATCATCGGTCTAACGGACGGGTTTTCCACGAAAATTAACGCACCGCGAATAATTCTAAACAAGTTAAAGTTTATCTCTAAATGCACGATGATATAACAGCAATTCGGCGATGTCACATAAAATTGATAAACGCGCAGTGGCGGGGTTGTGTCTATTCACAAAAGTTCGTAGCCGTTTGAGACGGTATCAATAGGAATGTTAGTGTTGCAAACTTGACCGTTCTCATGCCGAAGCGTTTCCAGATCGGCCAACCGAACCGTCGCGTGTGAAATCGATTCTTACAAACAGATTTGCGAATCAGTCGCGGAATCGTCGCGGAAAAAAAAATATTGGAACCGACAAATGACTCCGAAGACACGACACTTCGCTCTTGGTCGTCTAATTCGCTCGATATCCAATCGATCCGTGCTCGAGGCGAGGTTATTAAATCGATAGAGCGATCACGATGTCGATGTCGCTTTGGGAAAGGAAACATGACAAATTGTAACCTTCGAGAGCCGAGCCGTCGCTCTCGCAGGGTTTTGTAATCGAGTCCACGTTGCTAAAGAACCGGAATGAAGTCATCGTTTGTGAAACATTAAGGGACACCGATTCGTGTGAACGTACTGAAATTAACGTAGGAGCGCTCGATCGCGTACACGCGCGCAAATCGTTATCGATTCCCGCTAATTCCCTCATACGCTGTTTCCTACTTTAACCAATTTATATACTCGAAAAGTTCTTTCAAATGTATCTCAGCTACCCTCGAATTTCTAGAGCAACGTCACGATGTAGGTACATATCATTTGAAACCATCGAAAGTGGTACTCGTTAAAAATTCTAGCTGACAGACCGTTATGTTTCCGACGATAACCGCGGACGCTAAATGTCGCAACGCAGTGGAAGCTCGCGTTTTTTTTTTAGTGGAAAACTAGTATTCCACGATCCGTTTTGACCTGTACAGTAAAGTCTTCATAAATGCAAAGAATATACGATCATATGCTTGGCGATCCCCAGTGGTGGGTCTGGTTTCATTGCATTCATGGCAGAGATATTTGTGCATTTACGGAGACTTTACCGTAACTTCCTTCGCAGCAAGAATGTGAACCATTGTTCCGTGAAATGAATTAGTTGCGCGCTGCCTGTGCTTCCTCGTGTCCAGAGTTATGGAACTCGGCACTAAAACCATACCAGACTCGGACTGGCTGATCGTGGACTACGAGCCGAGTAATATTCACATCTTCGAGAAGACGTTGCGCGACTATGTCGTGTACTACGTGGTGGACGACTACTCTCCGTGCTCCTTCAACAGCTTTCGACGCAATTTCTCGCAGAGCTCAGGTATTTCGGGTATTTTCCCCTGTCCTGGAAAAACAATCGTCCTCCGTTCCGCGTATTACGTTCCGCGAGGCAGCTGAATTTAGCCGAGACAGCTTGCACGGGCCGAATCCGCAAAGGTTCGGGTTAAGCTAAATGAAAATGGCAAGCAACGCGTTGATGATTCATCCTAACCTTTCGGCCGCTGCAGAGAAAGTCATCTTCGTTGGGATAGCTTATTTTCAGTCGTACATGCGCGACGGTGCTCGGTGATTTTAACGCCTTCACATGTTGCACAGGCAATGCCGTCGGATAGCCTACTTGAAATTCAACAATCGTTTCGCGCTGTCGAACTACCATAGAAGCTGACGATTCGTTAATTGTGTTTCAGATTCGGACAGCGAGAGCAAAGATGGCTCCGGGTTGCAGGAGAAGAAGCACGGACGCGTCTCTCAGCCCATCAACACCATCGCCTACATGGTAAGCAACGATCTCGTTTTAGTCGTCGATTCAATTTCGAGGTCGAATCGACGGGACGGATGACATCCCGTTGTTCGTCGATCGGAGTTCCAAATAGTTTCTAATGAGATTTATCGCGGGATCGACGTGCAAACCGAGACGAAGTCTCGCGGAAAAATGACTCGGTCGAGCGAAACAGACGAGTCCATTAGCGTCTTGTTAGCGAGTACAGTGAACGCGAGGCTTACGAGCGTCGGAGACTTATCGCGGATGATTCATCATTGTCGCCGTGCCGCTCGATCCAACAACGTTTCTTGTCGAACGGTACACACAAGTACCTATTAATCGTTAATTATCAGCTCGCGTTTTCAGGAGATTAAGGGGGGGCACTACACGTTCTTCTTAAAAACAAATCATAAAAAAAAATTTTTTTTCTTTTACTAAAATGTAACCATTTCCGAATCTGTTGATGCTAATTTTATAATTTTGCGATAGTTAGAAACGGCGAAAACCGCTGCATACATTCCCATCCCACGTAATTTCGGCGACACGACGCAGAGCGCGAGGTCGCCGAATTCACTCGGCGGAGTCGTTGGAACAGAGAGTCCTCGAGATTTTTCGCGTGCCAAACGCTCGTTAGCGGGCACGTTTAACGCGAAAAGTTGGTCGCGAAGCGGCCAGGGGTTCTGGAAGACGCGGACACTTCCTATGCAACAGGAATTCCACGGTACCAGGGGCGAGGGGGATGCGAACGAGCATCGCTCGAATTCTGGAGCACCGGAAGACTCCGAAACGCTCGGCGCAGCTGTGATACAAGCGCCGGGGCCACCCGTGCCTCGCCGATCGATGAGGGAAATCGAATAACGCCAATTCGAATTCTATCGGAGGGATTGCTTTGGCGAGTCGAGCGTCGCTGTGCGTTTCTTTCGGCAGAAACGAAAATTTCATTCGGGTGCAGCGAGCGAACGTACAACGCGGGTAAACGAAGCATTGTCGACAACACGTTTTGTCGAAAACACGTCTCGTGATTTTTCCGTTACGCGTTTTTTCGATCCATCTCGTAGCAGAAATAATTTATTACAAGGGTCAAAGAAAATATCGTACTTTCGTTTCATCGCGTGATCGCTCGGTCAGTTTTACTCGCGTTGCGCAACGACGCCGCTTATGCTCTCTTGATCGCGCACATGAACCTCGTTCGCGAACGGACGCTCACTTTCTCGACGCGTATATTCGTACACGCGCTCGTCGCGTAATCGATGCGACATTTCGCGACGACCGAGTGGACACAAAACTATTTACGAATAGCCAGCCGCACGTGACCAAGGAGAAAGGGAAAAGAAATGCTAATGCTAAATAATCATTTTTTTTTAGAGAAATGAGAAGGCTTTTGTTTGTGATACACACCGTCGATTCAAAGTTTGAAACATCTCCTTCGTCGATGCTTCCGCGGTATTCCGCGACGCGCCGGTCTCGAATTTGCAACGGCTCGAACTTTTCTCGATTAGAAAGGCGACGTCGTCGCTTTTCTCGGCGCTGCCGCAAAACGGGGTCGTATCGGGTCTAATTTTAGTCGTGAAAGGAAATGACACCACGCGAAGCTTTCCTTATCTTGGACCGCGCGAATACGAGAATTGGATGCCGAACGAACGCAGTCACAGAGAATAGACATCCGTGTATACAGAATTGAATCGATGACGGAAATGATATATACTTCGACAACGAAGCGAGAGAGATTTGAAACGAAATTTAATAGAAACGATAGCGGAGGACTGTGAAGCCCGTAGGGTCTGTTAATTGCTAGTAGACGAACAACGAAATGGTTCGCGAATTCTCGAGAGAGAGAGAGCGTTCTCCCGCTAGCGACGAACCGTCTTTCCAGTTCTCCGATCACAGGATTTTCTAATAGAATCCTCGTGCAGAGAGTCGCTCGAGGGACAGGAAACGCAGTCGGCGTTCAAACAACGAGGAAGTGGAATTGTTGCGCAAACGGAAACCCTACGGAGCCGATGACGTTTCGCGTAGCTCGTCCCTGGATCGGTGTGACGCGGCGATTGGTCCTGTTCGATGCTCGCCAGGTTGCTCGGTTACAATTTCACATCGAGTTTCCACGTGTTCCTCTATTTGTGCTTCCGCTCGTCGAATAATTGTTCCGTCTTCTCATCAGCTATCGAGATTAAGCGAGAAATATGGTAGGCGCCTTTCGTAAATCATCGTCGTTGCCAGCTGTGAACCACGAGTTTCACTTATAGGAATTTTCTTAGCCTTTCGCGTAAGAACCACAGCTCTTCGGCGATAACTTCTCATTATGACTTAAGTAGGCGACAGGGGGCTGGTAGAATGCTTTTTCATTAAATCGAGAAAAAGTTTAATGCTCGCCTACCTACTGCGGGGATAACAAAGTATTATTTTGCAATGAACAAATAACGGGATATGGGTTCAAATAAATGATTAATCTTTATTTTATTCGATTGTGAAAACTAAGAAGAACTAGATGTAAGTAACAGAAACAAGGTTACGATACGTTTTCGTAAAAGATACACAAAGGTTTGAACATAGATGAAGAATAATATTATTCCAACAAATACACGTACGTAGCAATTGCCCCGAATAGGTACACGCCAATTACGATATCTAGCTACGCGAACCGTTGTAGAAAGTCCTGGGTAAGTCCATCCAATGGTGTGTCCCAGGCTCGTGATTTCAGCGGATCTTTCCATTATCCGGTGCAACGGGTACCGCGATGACCATGATTGCCCTATAATCCAAATGTCGTACTGTAATCAGCGTTGCTCTGGTGCCTCGCCGATTAGACCCGATGCCTAGCTTATGCCGTCCGTTTCGACCACTTACACGTCGTTGATTGATTAGCGTCTGTAATCTAACCGTTTCTCTTATCTCACTCGGCTCCACTCTCGCGGGATCCTAGCGATACGTGACCGAAGCAAGCGATGCTCAAACGGAAATGTATCTCGATCGATTCAACGTTTTCGAGTCGGCTGATCGATCGGAAAATGAAACTAACTCATGGAACAGAGGCAACGGCCTAATTCATGGAACACGGTACTAAATACTGATGGGTCACGGTACCGAGGGTCTCGAGGAATCTCGAGGATCTCGAAGAACTGTAGAGCCGCTGAGAGCTCTAGAGATTCCTATGGTATAAAACCGGCAGTACTCGAAGTCTTCGGATACCGAAAGATAATGTCTCTGGATTTCAAGAGTCTCGGAGGGACTTGGGTGACTCGCCGAACCTAGACATACCCCGAGACTTGCGGTGTCCGACGACTATATACCTTTAATGTTCGTCTAAGACTTGTGGAAACTCCTGCATCCCGCGACAGGATACGCTAATCTTTGACGAAACGACTCCTTTAGTCTCGACGGAATTATTTTTTTCTTTTAGATACGTTTCCTCGCAGTTTTAACGCGTTTCCAGTAAATATGCTTTCAAAGCAAACGGTTCTCGTCGGGCTGTATTCAAAGCGACCCTATATCTCCATTCAACGTCCCAGCTTTCCCGAATTAATTAAAACCTTTTTCGCAACGTTTCCAATTAGCGATCGTCGGAAAAATGTGCTTCGATTTCTCCGCAAGAGAAGTCTTTCGCGGAAGAGAACTCTATTCGATCGATACAGCACCGGCGAAAGCAGTCCGCCAAAGTCGACGTCTAACGATGAAGTTGAAGATAATTTAAGAACTGTCGGGTCTCGAAGATATCTCGAGCAGAAAATCTTCTTTCAAGACACACCTTCCGAGAAGCTGCTCGAAAGCGATCCGCTTTGCGCGAGCGTCTCCATGAAAAATTCGAGGGAAGGAGATGCTTTCGGAAATATCGGACGAGAGTCTCGTCAATTTTGCAAGGTAGTCCGACTACGTAAATCGATCCACTGCAACACGCTGAAGAGTCGAGTAAAATCATAAATTTTTATACGCCGACATTCGCGGGAAATTCGCGAAGGAGATCCCGTGAATCCAATAAAAACTCCAAGACGTAAGTTCTCGATAAAGCGATAGTCTGATCGCTAAAAAAATAAACAGAACTAACAACCAGAAAACGATTAACTGTCTCGTTAGCAGCTACGCGTCTCGTTTGCCCGATAACAAAATCTCGAGGTTGGCTCGTTCGGAAAATAAGAACGATAATTACGCGAACAAAGAAGCCATGAAAAGGGGGACAGTGAAATGTGGCGCAGGCCGGAGAGCTATTATCGAATACATGAACCGCGAAAAACGCGACGAACGACCCTGAATAAGAAGCTTCGGGAAAGAAAGACGCGGAACGGAGGTAACCCAGGCTACATAAAAAGAGAAGAGGAAAAAAGAATCAGGACAACTGGAGCTTTCTTGCGCGATCTTTTGTGACGGGATAGCTCTCCCTCTCGACGGGAGGCGGTTACCAGGGATTCTCATGTATTCCCGGCAAAATAATCATTTTTAATAAGCATCTCGTCCGACCGACGGCCCAACTCCGAGGACATTTCCAGAAGCATTTTTGTTCACTCTTACAAAATTTTCGACAACGTCCGAATTACGCGAGCGTTTATCGTGCTTTTTCTCCTTGCGGAGAAACACTGATCCAAAAGACGCAGAAACTGAAACAATGCCTGGTCACCTCTCTCGCTCCGTCGTTTGACGAAACATCGCGGCTCCTCTTTTCTTCCTTTCTTTCCCTTCGGTCGCCTTAAAAGCTTCATCACCTCGATCCGTGGCTTTTTGTCTCCCCTACTTCTCCACTGAATCCCACTTCAGCCTCTCTCGTCGTCGGTTTTTTTCACCGCTGATCTTTCCTCGGGGATCCGCGACTGCGACTTTTTTCCAGAACGTAACTTTTTCTCGTTTACCTATTTTATAACTTCTCGAAAGAGCGAAAGCTCGCCAATCGATTGACGACGATACCTTCGTAAAGAAGCGATTAAGAAATTTTGATACACGTACTTGAATTTAAATGCTAAGTTAGCGGAAGAGTACACGTAGAGATAATTTCTGGTTTCTCTAATTCCAGTAGATCGCAAACTATATTTCACTGCGAATACCCATTCGTTATTGGTCGATTACTCCGAGTCTTGGAACGAGCGAAATCTGCTTTTCCGATCGGGACTGTATTCCAACGGGATTACGCGGCGCGTTGATAAAAAGTAACGCCGATCGCGGAAACCCGTTGCAAATTGCGGATTAATAATATCGTGTAATCCCTGCGTGTGCATCGTTTGATATTACGTTAACGTCCTGGCACGCTGGTTAATGTAGTGTCCGTAATGCCGTGCGGCCTGCATAAGTTAATTTTATCGTTGCACGTGCAACGAGAGCTGGGCAGCCTTGCATTACAATACTTGGCGATTACCTTGCATACAGAAATTGATTCAGCGATACGTTCCTTCGCGTATATTCATCTTCCTTTCTGGGGCATAACGCTGTTAAGATGTTTCAGGGGGTTATTCTACTCCGGACTATCAGTTGGAATTTATGCTATCCATTTTAATCAAACGTTTCCTGCTCTACGCTCCTAATCTCATCGAGTGTACTATGCATTTTCATTACGATTCGGGTGCTCGTAATCTATAAAAATGTACAAACTATACTGATTTCGTGATCCATTTTAATAATGCGAGCATCGACATCCATCGCGATGAAACATTTGAGAGTTTTCTATCTCTGGAGAAATCCCATCTTTCCTGGAAATATCGTTCACGGAACAATGAGAGGATAGCGTTGAACGTTCTCGATATCGGCGAATGATGACAAAAGGAAATAAGCAATTTCAACGCTTCGATGTGCAACCCGTTCTTCGTAAAATCGTCGCGGTTTAATTTCTCGAGAGGGTGGAGCCTCCGACGAACTGCCGAGAGAAAAATGTTTAAATGGATGGCAGAGAGAAACGGGGAAAGGATAGCGAGCAATCAGGGGTAGGTGAAGGGCGAGGTGTCGTAAGAATAATTAACGAATTTTCTCGGGACACAAATTACATTTTAAGCGTTGTAAAATCTGTTTGGCTTCGGTTGTATTCTCGAGATACAAGGCATCTCGAGAGCAAAGATTCCAGAGTTATATTTTCTCCTTCGTGGGGGTTAATATGCGATATTCATTTCGCGATCGTAAATTGGAAAGTACAAATATAGATACACGCTAACCGAGCGAGTGTTATGTCAGGCATCGAGCAGTAGATCGAGCCGAACCATAGTCGGACGCTACGCGTGTCTGGTCTGACACGAGCTCGTCCTAATTCTACCGTGCAGTAGATTCAGTCTCGCTATGGTCGGACGGACCTACTTCCCGAATTTGCGAACGCGGAATTCGCGGTGAATCAACGTTCCATCGAGGTTGATAAATTCGAGATATTCGATGTATCATCGAGATAATTCGAGATAGTATCGATTACCGTTCGGTTGGAACGGCAGTTAATTAAGGAGGTTTAAATGGAGTTCCATTCGATCACGATGATACTTTCGATGTAGCACTGGGAAATTATCGAGAACTCGCGTATCGTTCGGTTCGATAACGCGACAAAATTCGTGTAAATTTTTGCCCTTTTTAGCGTAACAATGCGGTGACTGGGTCTTTGCATCGTGTCGTCGGAAAGGTCGCTGGTCGCGAATTTCCGTAAGAGCCGTAACATGCCGGCGAATGGACCGGGCTCGGTCTCGCTCTCTTTCGAGGAATTCAATTTTCCGTTGCTCGGTATCCCCTTCCACGCCATTTCTGCTGGATTATGCAAATAGTCTAATGGTCCCAGAGACAGCGACCATCGTCGCACCGGTGGAATAACCAAGGTAGTTTGACTAGTTCCGTGGGAGAAAGTATTTGAACGGAGATATTACTCTTTTAATCCGTGTAAGAAGTTTCGCGTTGATTTACGATCATCGATAGGAACTCCGCATATTTATTGGATATTACGGGATTACATTGCTTTCATATTTATGAAATAAGGTGTTCTGGGTTCGCGAGAGATGGAAGACATTCTTCTTAGAACGAAACGTTAAACACTCGATGAAGCAACGCATTAGGGAACGTTGCACCGTAACGTCGTTGAAATGTTGCAAGGTGACACTGATGAAGCGTCGCGGTGAACAGTTACGAGAACATTGTGGTATTCGGTTTCAGGAACTGCCGCCTATATCGCGTTATTCCGTTCCAGAGAGCAGTAGAACGTGTAGCAGTAGAAATAATAAATTGTGACGTAACGTATCCAGAACGCTAGCCAAACCGTTGGTCTCGCGGAAACATAATTTCTGCGTGTCTAACGTTCAACAAACCAAATTCCTCGTGATACTATATGCAGTCTCCGAATAGAATACTGTAGTGGCTCTTTTATTTTCGAGGTAAATAACAACAATCGAATCACCGTCGAAAAGTAAATATAAGCAATCGTGTATTCCAAAGACACCTAAAACGACATCCCGATGTATCCGTGCGTTGACGACAGGCGTAGAGATGAAACCAGTTATCGGTGAACGATTCGATCTGGGATGATCGAGCCGCAGATCGAGGCGGAAGCTACGGCTTATGACATTGCATTACCGCCGGCCCGTGAAATTGCGTTTCACCGATACTTGGCCGGTTTCGAGCGATTCCTGAACCGCTGGCACGTCGACGCGACGCGTTCAAACGCCAAACTACGTCAAAGCACTCTACTGCGTAGATCGATGATCCCTGATCGGGCACGTATCGATCCGACGAGCCAGCCATTATTCTACGCAACCGTAGCTAACGATTTGCATTTAGGGCTCGCCTGCATTGGTGTTCGGGGAGTAGGTGTGAAAGTTGGCTGCTTGCATGGAATGTACATTCGAACACTCTGGAACCACTATCCGGTCGACTCGGTTCGCGTAACTCTGATTAGAATTCACTGGATTCTCGACAAATCCTTCTTTTCTTTTTCATTTTTACGGTCTTGGTAGGTTAGCCAAGGGATCGTTGAAACAACTGTCTCCTTCGAACTAAAACTTACGAATAGCGTATCGCTGCGTTATGTGTGCGAAATTCTTAGAAGCGATGGTCAAGGAATGGTTCCAAGGACGCGGTGGAGAATGCGTATTGTCCAAGCTTTCTAATTGGCAGGGTCAAACATCTCATACACCCGTAGGAAGTCACGTATGCATAGGAAGAGTGACAAGAACGAATTTAAATGATCGCGAGCGTGTTTCGATGACCTCGTGTACTTGGATATAGAAGTTAACGCTGAGAATTCTACCGAGAATTCTATCAGTTTTTTCCTGAAAGCCACGATATCGTTGGAACGGCTTTCCCCTTGTTAGAGCAGTCCGTCAATTATGTGGCCAGGCGAGTAATTCGTGTCTCCGTTTTCTCATTACAGGTGGGCGATAGGGACACGCTCACGTCGGTGGCCGCAAGGTTCGACACAACGCCGTCCGAGTTGAGCAAATTGAACAGGCTCGGAAGTACTTTCATTTATCCTGGTCAGCAATTGTGGGTACCGGCGAAAGGAGAAGGTCGACCAGGAGGCGGAACCACTACCGACGCGCCCAGTCCGGATCCTTGCCACGACCATGAGTCCCAGGATGATCTACCTCCAGAAGAAAAAGGTAATTTCACGATCCACCGAAATGTGTATCATCGTGAATTTATTAGCGCCTCATCTGGCCATTTGATCTTGCTCGAAATGGTATAGAGTTTTCTTTTTGGATCGGCTGACGACAACGTTACCAATGTTGCGCGAGATTTGAATTTATTGTTACGACGTAGGTAACGCAATCTACATCGTAACAGAAGTTCTCCTACGCGGTGTGACGCGTACGAGTTGCCATAATTTTTCGAATGCCGACAATGAGGTTACGGTATGTTGTAATCGTTGCCTTCGCGCGAGCAACGTTTTATACGGTATAGTAACGAAAAGATTATTACACAGATATAGAAATTTAATATGCCATTGGCAGAATCGTATTACACGGAAACACGTGTCAGGCAAATATTACAGTATCCACGACACCGCAACAAACTATACGTTCAAACACGTTAGTGTAACAAGAGCAGGCGTCGAACGTTATCTATCCGTTGTGTGCGATAGACAGCCGTTAATATTCAACGCGACACTTCGTATAAGCCGATACAATCGAGACCCTATTCATCTTGATATTTGGCCAGGTGAGTCAATCCGATTCACCTGAAGGCACCGCCACCACCCCCGTGTTACATTATTCATAGAGATCTACTGGCGTTAATTTTCCTTTCGTATTATCGCAATCGCAAAGCCTTTTGTACTCGAGATAGGCAACATTTTATATGTTACGAATCGATTTTGCTGGAGGTCCATGTGTCGTTTTCTCTGTCGCTCTTCGTGACCTATAACTGGCTCAGTTTTGACAGACGCTTTAATCGATAGACGCGATTTAACCTACTTGAATTATCTAGTACATCATTCGTGCCTTACAGCCTTTTGCTACGCAAACTCGATGTAGAAATAGAAGAATTTGTAAAAACCTTTGTCGATGCCTTGTTACATTTTGTTAGAAATATTTAAATATGTCGCGAGAAAAAAATATTTAAAAATTCAAGGATCAAGTAGCAATTATTTTGTGGTCATATTTTTTTATGATATGCCTTTGAATAAGTCATAAAACAATCGTAAAATTCTTTACGCGAGCGACTATTGTGATGTTTATAGTTTTCTTATACTATTCGATACGTATATGTAGGTAGTACGTCAGCTGATCCGAGTAAACGACGCAAACTATAGATATCAATATGGCGGTAACTGCATGCCAAACATAACCTGTACGCTGTCAGAAAACACAATGCGAACCGATTTAACGTCAAATGGAACGGGAATGCTGTGTCTATATTCTCATGGAGTGTGGTGCTGTTACCTAGGAATTCGATTACGTAAAGATGTTTTAATGTAAATTCTTTTAGTTCTGTAACAAAATATTGATACGTAATTAGTTTATCTATCTATGAAAGAAATATATTCGCAGCATTCCGATTCTTCTGTTTCGAGATGGGTAGGTTATATTTAATAGTGGTAGATATAGGGAAAAATAAAAGAATATTTTCTCGATATTACTAATATTATATTGTAATTTTCAGAATTGTTGGATAGCTTGAGGCCTGTATCGCCTAAACCAGGCCACATGGAACGAGTGAAAACACCTCTTGGTATTACAAATACAGTTATAGAAGAGGAAGAACAACCATTTAAAGAAAGATTTTTGAAAATCAATGTTCGACATATCACGGATGGTCAGGTAAGTCTTATGTTTAGAGTAATTTCTATGTATTGTATCTTCTATGCTATCTCTTTTCTTTTATCATGGCTAACTCTGTGCTTTGATTTACAGGGTGTTGTTGGTGGAGTACTGTTAGTCACCCCAAATGCAGTGATGTTTGACCCCAATGTCTCGGATCCACTTGTGATCGAACATGGAGCTGAATCTTACGGAGTGATAGCACCAATGGAGTTTGTAGTGAATGCTGCGATTTACTATGACATTGCGCATATGCGTGTCCAACATACAGAGTCAGGAAATTTGGATAAGAAGCCGGAAATTTATTATATGAAGAAACCCTCGCAGAATGATAATCGCAAATGTCAGTCTCCGGGAAAGGATGAGAATTTTCCAGAATTAACGACAGACGACAACGAGAGCGTGTGTAGTTGCGCAGAAAGAGACGGAGCCGCTTTTCCAAAGGCCTTCGAGAGAGATCTCGTAACTCCTACTAATCTTCAAAACGTACGTTCGTTAAAACTGCTTTTACTTAAAAATATTTCATAATAAATACGATAATTTGACATGCTTTACAGGAAGAAAATACAACGACAACCAAAGAAAAGGAAACAGAGAAAGAGACTAAAGATGCTTGCGGTGGTGGTCAAGCAAGTAGAACGTTAGAGGAACGTAGACGTTCTATGCTTGACCACCATTGGGCAGTACCTAGCAAGGATCGGTGTACATTATCGGTAGAAGACGAACAACAGGATTCTTTGAATTCTGACAAGGTTAGTTATCGGTTGTTAACGAAATTTAGCGTTCCTCTATTAATCTTTGAATCTCGATTAACGTCGACGTTTATTTGCAGATCGACCCCGCGAAGTCGAAGGCGATTCCCGAAGACGAAGAAGGATCTCTAGTCAAATTGTCATGCCACGACTCTGGTATCGACATTCGTGATCCTATTCCCTCTTTCCCAGTAGTTCAGCATATCCCCTCAAAGAAAGTATACTCAGACGCAGATATTGTCTTATCTTCAGATTGGGTCCCTCCTATTACTATTGCTCCGACGAACATTACAACTGATACGCTAGACGCTGGTTCCGCCATTAATGGCAGGAAGAAGGCAAGTTCGGTATCTTTTAGCTTAGACAGTAATACAGAGGAACCCGAGAAAGACGAAGAGCATAAAGACGATGACAAACAAGAGACGCGTAGGAATAAGGTATCGTCGTTATCAATACCATAGCAATAGTAATATTAAAAACAGCTAAATAACACTTGCCGTTCTTTCTTTTTCGTTTCAGATGTTAAAACGATTGTCGTATCCATTGTCGTGGATGGAGGGATTAACTGGTGAGAAAGAAGACGAAAATAAACCGGGATCCGATAAAATTTCAAGCCTTCCCAACAGCGCGGATTCCCATCATTCGTCTGTGTTCAGCAAAGTCTTCTCGAGGTGATAATCTTCGCTACATTAAAACCCTAGAATCTTTACGAACTTCTTTTCTCCTAACAATCTATTTACGTGGTATTAACATTTTTCTAAAATTAATAATACGCTTCTATATTTCACTTTTTACTCTTTGTCTGTGTTAGGAATGAGTAAACAGATCGTTACAAAATTTGCATAGCTCTTGTACAGGAAAGATCGGTTTCGATGCCCGGGTGCCTCCTATACATGGCGTAACGTTTGTTCCTTTATCAAGAGTGTGATTGCTTTCTGCTGAATCTTCCTAGGATATTTCAAATAATATTTATGTATAGCATGTCTGAGGGTGTTCCTAATGAAACTAGATTAGGTACGTTTCACAAAATATATTCTATAAATTTACGCGTTTACTGAAAAGAAATTTTAACTACTTCGAAGAATAAGTTTTACTACGAATGCCCTCATTCGTTGAGAACATATAGAATATTCATTAGATACTTGACGCCTAGAAACGAGTGGCTTATTGCATTTGCGGTGCGCGTTCAGATACATTTCTTTTAAATTATGGAAGGAGTAAACGATCCAGGGGAATGCGTACATGTGAGGTTTCCAGCTCAATCCAGAAGTTATCCTCGATATCCTAATACCTTTACAGTCCGTTCTTTCGGAACATTAAACTATTTTTTTCATAGACTGCACCCGAAAACCTCGAACAGTAATTAGTCTGTGTCGAGCATTTTAGCGCCAAACGTTTTCAAGTCTATGTTAAAGATAGGTTCCAGTCCGACTGTGTTGGTAATCTGTGTTTAATCAAAAGCTTTACTGTCGTTTCTAATGTAACTAACAAAGAATATGTAATGGTGGTGGATATAAGCTCGCCGATCAACCTGGTGAGTGACTTTAGCTCGGGCCTGTTTGCTAAAACTCCCAGCGAAGAGAGTGGTGGGGGCGGTAGGGCTGGAGGGACACCTCCGCTTACCGCCTCCTCTCTCTCCCAGGACTCCGGCAATCCTCAATTTTCACCTGGTCCAGGAGGGCTTATGGGGTGAGTTTGGGCCCGGTACATCAACCAACAAATTGTTGTATCCACTTTATCCACGTTCCCTTTTTTTAAATCTCCCCGCTGTTCCACTGTTTATCTCTACTTGGCTCTCATACTTGAATATAGTTTCGACAAACGTTTATCTCATTAGATCTCTAGTTTCTTTCAAGGCAGGGACTCGTCGAATTGTTCTGTATTCGAGTATTCGAACAGTCCTGTAGTTCAAACATTCAACAAATATAAATCGAATAACGATATTCAAATGGTACCCAAATATTCATGGTTATTCGTAGTATTCGAATATTAAATTATTTGAGCAGTCCCAGTCCTAGTTTGTTACCGTTCATTTTCTTTTTCTCTCTTCTCTTGAAACGATCATTTCTAGTTAGCCTTAAACGTGGTTTCCGTAACTCGTTGTTCAACTTTGACGCTTCTCACGAGAACTCTTTCTCTTTCCTTCCTTGTTTCGCTACTTCCTTTACTTTCTTTGAGCCTTAACTCGGGGTTGAGATCAGCCCCGAAAACTTCTTGCTCCTGCTTTCAGGTAAATGTTACATCTTTTCAGAAACTCTGCCAATGTTCGACACGACACATGCGCCGTTTATCGCTCTCTGATAACAGTACCGCTTACAAACAACACACGAATCACCAACAAAAGTCGAACACAGCGTTTTAGTACATTCCCCCCAAGCAGCCACCCAATTTATTTCTCGCCGTTTACACGTTGGAATACGATGTTTACCTTGAATGTTGTTGACCCCCACGATTAATGTTCTTTTACTGTGCGTTGCAATGTGTATGCTCGTCGTTCACGAAATTACGGTGCACACGAAGGAAAATCACTACGTCGCTTGAGAAGAACGCGTGCTCGTAATTTCGGACGAAAAGAAACGTGCGTTGTTGGTCGGACGATAACACGTGTTCTCGATTGCCTTTCAGACGGTCTTCCGTGGGCACGTTCATCAGACAGCAACCATTGACATCGTCGGGCAGCAGCAGCGTGGACAGCAGTAGAGGCAGCAAAACTTCGACCAACGCGCCCCGCTTGGATTATCGCAGCATGGTCTCCGTCGAGGACATGCCCGAACTCTTCGTTAGCTTCGACAGTAAGTATCCTGGACTGTCAACGGCACTTACCTATTACGTATTTTAAACTCTGCGCATTTTATGGAATGATTCATTGATCGTGGACATACACACACTGCGACAGTCTCCTCACACCGAGTACTTTTTACCGTGTACAGGGCGTTCTACTTTGATCTATATGTAGGTACGTATGTTGAAGATACAATATCTTTGTCTCGAATTATATATCAAAATTGGGACGCTCCTGGTATTACACATTTTTTAGATGGCGTGTTTTCAGGGTTTATATCGATTTCATATAACGTATGCATATAATAATACATTCGCTCGGAAACGCGTAATAGAAAAATTAAAAGTTCTCATTGGAAGGAGAAAGAGGGAGATGAAAGATTATCCTTGACGATACTACTCTCAGGTGACGCAAGCCTCGGTGAACACGAAACACGCCATTGAAGAAATGCTCTTCGCCCCGAAGGGATCGATAATTTCGTGATTAATTACACGTAGCTACGAATACATAAACAGAAACGGCAGTAAAGATGGCAAACGGGATTACATATCACGCACTGCACTCGCTCGTATGTATAGACGGCTTCTTAACCGATATGTTACTTTGCTAGTGCATTATTGTCCCTTTCTTCGAATTTTTTAGCCCCCTTTCGATTCGATTACACTTTCGATCCGCGTAGAATTTATTTCCTCGAGCCGAAGTTTACCATCGGAGAAGGATTTACAGACGAAATTTGCGATCGAACGCTTCTTACCACCCGTCAACGTTGTTCTCAATATTTTGTATAGTTTTTGATCTCCACTCGTTTGTCATTACCAGTTCTCTCTACACCTTACTGTGTTTAATGTGTCCATTACATTCGCGTGCGCCGTTCTGCGAATCTGTGCCACGAGAATTTCCAATTCGTCGAATGATTGACGCTGTTCCAAGCCGTTTCGACTGTTGACACAGATCCGAGGAACAGCATCTCGTATCGTGATCACTTGGCTCGGAATCCGTGATCGTCTCGATAGCGATCGCGGGGCCCAGGTACGAGACACTTCATTCTTAAACTCTCTGTTAATTTAAAGGGGAACGTTATCGTGTCCCCTTGATCTTGAAACCCATTGTGCCATTTGGATTCATATTTCTGTATTAAGTACTAAAAATGTTTCGTACCGATAAAAACAGCACAACGGGTTTCATCAATTTTCTGAGAATGAATTCATACTAATGCAGTAACGTCATATGTTTTGTTGTCCCTCTCTAGTCCAAGCACCTAATTTTCCCGAACTCGAAGGCCTCGGTAGGTTCATACTGTATTAGCTTGTTTATCCCCCTCCTCTTCCTCTCGTATCACGACCTTCGCAGACATTGATTAGCCATTATCATTGATTTTCGCTCTACTCGTGACACTTTCCTTTTTTTTTTT